ATAGATAGGGTAAATTTTCCTTAATTCGAAAGAAAAATATTAAATTAGATTTGAATAACAACACAGTATATCTAATTTTTTATATCTGATCAAAAATATAAAACAATCTTTTTTTTTATATCATAAAAAATATTTTATCCCTCGCTAAGATCACGAATCTTGAATTTTTAATATATTTTTATTCGCAGATGTATGATTTTGATGGTGATTATGTAACTGTTTATACTGGCGAAACCGACGTACGTCGAACAGGCCTAATTGAAAAATATAATGGCAATGTAAATCTACCTCAATGGACAGGAAAATGTGCTAATGTGAATGGAGCCAGTGATGGAGTAAAATATCCTAGTTACATTGAGCCTAACGATACTGTATTATTCTTTAGAAAAAGTCTCTGTCGCGCTGCCCCTATGGTATGGTTATATACTTTAATATATATTATATATATTAAAACGCCTTAAATAAATCACGTATTCAAATAATTTCTTATAATATAAAAATTTTTCTGTTATTATCGTTTAATATTATCTTTCATTGTCAAATTCAAAATTTATATATAAATAGCAAACTATTAAAAATATTAGATATTTAATTTTACAGATATATTTATTATTGATAAAAATATAATTGATAAAAAGAGACTAAAATATAATTTTACAGATTCGAGTCGAAGAAACGACTATAAAAGGGATGCATACGTATAAATATATATTCGTCGAAAATATACTTGATAATGGCATCTATAACCCGGAAAATAAATGTTTCTGTCGTCATGGATACTGTTTAAAAGCTGGTTTAATTGATGTCACCGATTGTTATTATGGTAAAAAAATTTAGACAAAAAAATTTCAATATTGAACATTGATAATATAAAATAAGGCTCATAATATTTAAAATTCGCAATAACTATTAAAATTATATACAACCTGAGTAAGAGGTGCCATCTTGCATTAAATTTTCTAATTAAATTACATGTACTTGCATATATATATATATATATATATATATATATATATATATATATATATATATATAATAA